GCCTCTTTCATCAAACGAGGCCTTAGTGTTAAAAACATCTCACGTTACAGGACAGAGGGAGTAGGATCCAGAAGCTTGTTGTGTTGAATGTGCCACAAGCATAGACGGGGCCATGCCGCACGCACGTACGTCGCCATCGGTCCTTCACTGTGTCCCCGACGCATCGCCTATCCTGAGTGCGACTTTGTCATTCAGGATAAGAGAGGCGCAAAATGGCACATGAGGGATCAGCACCTGTGCGGGTAGGTAGATAATAATGCACGGGTGGCGTGTCGTGTCATTTTCTCTCATCTTAATTCCGAAGGCAAGATAACATAATCATCTTAGGACCAGCGGTAGCGGTACACGCCTTGCCGATCGAAATTCCAAACGGCAAATATTTTTCATGGAAGAAGAAATCTCATCTCATCCATTCGCAAAAAATAAATAAATTTCACCCATGAATCCACTGACCGCCCTCCACGGTGATTTCTGAAACTTTCACTCCTAGGAAATACTCCCTTCGTTCTAAAATAGATGACCCAATTTTATACTAAAACTAGTACGAAGTTGAGTCATCTATTTTGGAAGGGAGGGAGTAGGATTTCTCTCTAATTTATCCGACGTGCTTAGAACGGATAACGCACGTGTCCGGGGCCGGGGGACGGTGGGCCCTGGTTCTGGCCGGTGGATCCGGCCCATTAATTTTTTCTTTTTCTTTAACGAGGATTTCCCCGCTACGACGACACCAGGCGCCGTCGGCACAGGCGAACTGCTTCTGGCCTCGAGTTCGGAGGAAGGAAGGGAGCGGTGCGCGCCAGAAGCATCGAGACGAAGCGGAGAATGAGGGTGCCGCTCTGCCGCCTCCCGCTCCTCCTGCTCCTCGTCCTAGCCCTCTCGCCGGAGGGGACGCGGTGGCCGGGCGCCTCGGCGGCGACGGCCGCGGCGGCGCGGCGCATCGCGCCGCTGCCATCCGCCGCGCTGCGCCGCCTCTACGACACCTCCAACTACGGCAGGCTGCAGCTCAACAACGGCCTCGCCCTCTCCCCCCAGATGGGGTAATTTTACTCCCCCCCGCTCCCCGCCGCTCCTCAGTTTTCTCTCGCTCTGCCGCTTTGACTCGCGCTTTGTTTCTCTCTTCTGTCTGTCCGGCGGAGGGGGTTGCGATTGCGGTCGAAATTTCATCGATTGATCGCCGTGTGGGCGCTGCGTGCAGGTGGAACAGCTGGAATTTCTTCGCCTGCAACATCAACGACACGCTCATCCGCGAGACAGGTTCGGCCCCCCGCGGGATCCCTGAATATAATCGTTGTTAAGACTGCGATTCCCCATTCACACTTTTCGATCCTGTTGAAAAATCGTAGCTATATCTACATCGTATAGTCTTGGGCACATTTCTAAACTGTTGCGGCAAGTGCAAAGACATACTGTACTTAGGATACAACAGATCGAACAGTGTCTGATGTCTCTTATTTGCACTAACACTAGCGCTTGCCAGTAATAATTAGTGCCGAATGTGTTCTCCAGAGTACAGAGTAGAGTTTACTCTATTCAGAGTTTCATAACCCTGTTTTTGAAACAGCTGATGCATTGGTTTCGACGGGGTTGGCTGATTTGGGATACAACTACATAAACATCGGTACACCACTTAGCTTGACACCAGTGCGATCTTTTATTGGGCTACATGAAGTATTTTGTGTCTTGTCTCTAACTATATTTGTCCTTCCTTTTCAGACGACTGTTGGTCGTATGTGAAACGAGGAAATAAGGTAATAAGTTTTCTTTAACGTTCTTATATTATGGGACAGAGGGAGTAGTAAATAAGGTAATAAGTTCCATTATACTTTTCCTAACTGCATTTTCCTTGTACATGGAGTATGATGTTAAAGCTTGAGTTAGTCTGATCACAACATTATTTTTCTCTGTGGTCTCTATATGTTCTATTCTGTGCACATTCATAGAAACCTAAGATATTTTTTTTTCTTGTGTTCATGATAATTGGACCCCAAGGCCTGAATAGAAAAAGCTTCTACAGTGGTCGTACCTACATTTACTTTGAAAATGTATTCACTAAAAACATGTCAGAATTATGTTCTATACCTTGCTCATCAGTTTGGTTTCAATAGCTCTGTTTTCTGTCTTTATTTTTCTAGAGCATTGTTTCTGTGAAGTTACTGTACTGTCAGTATGCCCTCCTAGGGATCCATACAGTTACTAGTAAGCGAATGTTTTTCATCAAAAATAAATAAGTCTTCCCATTGCGCTCTACCTGAGGCAATACGATTACTATTTTTGGATACCCAAAGATATCTATTTATGTCACTGCATTAAACTCGTTCATGTTACTAAAATAAATGCATCTTGAGTGCATCTGCACATTTTTTAATAAGTTATTTCCTGTAACATGTAGGATCAATTGCTACCTGATCCAAAGACTTTCCCTTCTGGAATCAAATCACTTGCGGACTATGTGCACGGAAAAGGTCTAAAACTTGGTATCTACTCTGACGCTGGGTAAGTTGTCTAAGCTATAGATGATTTAACCTGCTAGCTTTTAGGGTTCTTAATGTATCATAGTCAAGAATAATTCAAATAACAAAAATTATAACAAGTAAAAGCTTTCAGGGTATTTACTTGTCAAGTTCGACCAGGATCGCTCCATCACGAAAATGACGATGCTGCCCTTTTTGCTTCATGGGTATGAGCTACAAGCAACCACAGAATCAGTGATGCATAAAAGAGTAGCTGCACAACATTGCAATGAACATTTTAAGAACATCTTTTCCGAGTCTTTCTATCTCAACCTATTCTGCGCTCCTACTGAACATGCAAATAATTTTACTAAGACATGAATCTGATTTTTTTTTTGTCCAGGGTGTTGACTATCTAAAGTACGACAACTGTTACAATCTGGGAATACCGCCAAAGGAAAGGTTAGGTCACACGTCTTTCATTTGCCTAGATCACTGGCTTTACAGACAGTTAGCCTCGATATATAGAGCTAAAATTTGTTCCATGATGTCATAATCTCAGGTATCCTCCAATGCGTGATGCTCTAAATTCAACTGGGCGCCAGATATTCTACTCTCTATGTGAATGGTATGCAGTTAACACTGGGAAATAAATAGCAGTTGTACGTTGTCTCAACCTCCAACCTTGTTGAATTTGGATGTGTATTCTCTCTTAGGGGCCAGGATGATCCAGCTTTATGGGCTGGAAAAGTTGGAAACAGTTGGCGTACAACAGATGACATACAGGATACATGGAAAAGGTGATTCATGATCTTCCTGAAACAAAAGAATATACCAGTCTGCTGATGTGCTGTGAAATTGATTCGTCCGTTTTCTGTTTAAAACAAGCATGACTGACATTGCTGATAAGAACAACAAGTGGGCATCATATGCTGGACCCGGTGGATGGAATGGTAACTACGTTTGTCAGGAATACAAGCTTTCCTGATGTGGTAAGAGACTCTAAAATAAAAGAGTACACTGTTACTAAACAAACTCATTTTTGGCAGACCCGGACATGCTGGAAGTTGGAAATGGTGGCATGACCTTTGCAGAGTACCGTGCACATTTCAGCATCTGGGCACTCATGAAGGTAAGAGTTTGCCAAGCGCATCAGTAGTCACTACAATTGTGCCAATGCCTTATTGCCCCACTGCATCGACTCCTTCAAATTTGTTGTTTATGTTATTTTTGGACCAATGACCAAGCTAAGAGTTTGTGAAAATAAAGGCTCATTTTCCTTGTATAAAATTGTGTCTTGGCTCATGGCTTTCAAATTTAGGATATTGCTGCAGAGAAATATGTAGAACTGCAGATGCGCATAATTTATTTGGATATCAGCAGCGCAAATTTGTCTAGCATGAACTGCAAAAACGTCTTATATTTTGGTACAGAGGTAGTACAAAAAGTTTGTCTGCATACATTCTGGATAACTTAGTACTGCAGTAGTGTTGGATTCTAGAATCATCTCGTGAGTACCAGACTAAATTTTACAATCAGTTTGTATATGCATAATGCAAGTAAAACACAAACTGATTGGTGGCACATTATCTGCTATTTTCATTTTGTTGCACTGACCGGAAAACCCCCTTCTGGGTCATGTTTCAGGCACCTCTCTTAATTGGTTGTGATGTCAGAAATATGACTTCACAGACAATTGAAATATTGAGCAACAAAGAAGTAATTCAAGTAAACCAAGGTATTACTCAGAATCTTGTCTTTGTATGTATCTCTATAATATGCCCTCATGTCGAAACAGCAATGAAGTTTTTCTATTGCTATCGTTTTTTCATGGAATTGAAAGCGAGCTTTCTGGGTGGCGCAAAACAACCACGCACTGAAAAGATGTTTTCATCTTACCTGCTCTTTAGAAGGCAGTTTGCTCTAACTAATGTAGATATTTTCATAGGAGTTGTTTGAACCACTTGATGGATCTAAGACGAAGATTTTTTTTTTCGAGTTATGTTTTGTGTTTGATTGACTTGCGAGCATTGAGCTGGCTAGTTGCCATTTCTTTATTCCTCTCGGAGACGCGATATATTATGCTGAACACTAACATTATATGCTGTTAATCCGTTCTGTTTTTTTGGGGGTGTTTTTAAAGTGCCTGATTGTGTTTCTTCTGCTATATAAGATTTCTGGCATATTGTTCTATTCACACAGTAAGAACCATTTGTATGTGTGCTGTTGTAACTATGCAATTGGTTACATTAATTGTGTTTCTTTTTCTGCAGATCCTCTTGGAGTTCAAGGAAGAAGAATTTTGGGTCAGGGAAAGGGTGGATGCCGTGAGGTGATTTAGCTGCTCCATATGGGATAGCTATTATAAGTCGCACATCTTCGTTCCGTTCCGCGCATCAACACATCCCTATGCCAAACTCATAGTATGTCAAATTTTGCAGGTGTGGGCTGGCCCCCTCTCTGGCAACCGTTTGGCTGTTGCTTTATGGAATCGTTGTTCGGAGACGGTTAATATCACAATGTCATTGCCAGCTGTAGGCCTTGATGGTTCATCTGCCTATTCTGTTAGAGATCTGTGGAAGGTGAGTTGCATAGATTTCATTGCTGTCAGTGTCAGGTGTTTTAATTCACCTCTTGTCCCTCCAAAATCAAGGTGGCTGGAGAAACATACTACCTCCGTCTATAAGCATATCAATATTAATTAGATTCCAGATAGAATTGGACTACTAATCCTTCTACCCTTTCTCTCTGATGGGTTTAGTTTAGTCGTTGAGAATCCAAGGGAGGTCTTGAAGCTTCATAGTCAAAATACTATCGTAGTTAAACGACAGCTCAACCGGTGTAATCTGGGAGAATAGAAACAATGCGATCATTTAGTCTTTCACAACCGGTGTTCTAAGTTGGGAGCACCCTCATACACTTGACTAGTCTTGTTAGCATTATCTGTTTTGTTGTGGACCACCTGCTAAATTTGCATTTTCTCCAGCATGAAACTCTATCGGCGAACGTGGTAGGAACTTTTGGAGCCCAAGTCGCCGTGCACGACTGCAAGATGTACATTTTTACTCCCACCGTCGGTTTTTCTGCAAGTTGGTGATTGAAAAAGGTCAAAGCCACGCCATGCGGTATATATATGTCTGGAAACAAACTTTGGTCAATCATCCAACTTCCAGGTCACACGGTATATATATGTATCAGCCTGTTTTGGACAAAATACTCTTATCAATCATATATCCAGCATGATGCGCAAAATTTACTCTCAATTTGTACATCTCTTTCCGGGAGGCTCTATATCATGCCAGTGGACTATGACCAATAAATTAATCATCAGTTATTGGAGGGGAAATATATATAGGACATATAATGTTTTCTCATTATTACAGGTAACCTGACTGTTTCTTAGGGTCTATCACAGGGTTAGCTAGCTGGTAGATCTGAAACCCGGCAGCATCTGGCAGGTTCTTGGCCTGGAACGCGTCGACTCTCCATCTGGCCACCTTGTGGCAGAGGTGGTCCGACCAGAACTGGCTGCCGTCGTCGACGTGCATCTCCTGGAGCACCATGGCGTTCTCCACGAGGAACTTGGCCAGCCGCACCTGGAAGCAGTTGACCTCCCTGGCCTTGAACTGCAGCGTTACCTTGCGCAGGGTTGTCTCCAGGCAGCTGAACTTGCTGTTTGTCAGGGCGTTCGGGAGCCCCGAGACGCCGTCGAGCTGCACCGCATCACGATGCGCCGATGGCATGCACGCGAGCCTCTCGAACCGGTCCATGGATTCGCCGAAGGGGCCTCCGGCTGGGTCCTCGGTGTTGTACCAGTAGTGGTGCGACATCTCCAGCCTGAGCCGCAGCTCGGACATGGCCGGGCAGGAGGCGAGCAGCCTCGCCACTGCCACCGCTGTGCTTCTGTCCCCGTCCTTGCACTTGCCGTGCACTTGGAGGAGCTTGAGGTTTGGGAACGTGGGCAAGATGGCCTTGCCGGCCAGGATGTCTTCAATGCTGTCCAGCCGCAGCTTGAGCGCCCTCGTGCTGGAGAAGCTGGTGAGCATGCGCGACGTGGACTCGTACTGCTGGACGTTTTGGTTGCGGCGAGTGGCGTCGAGGTTGACGCGTGCCAGCGCCGGCGCGGGCGTTGCAAGCGAGAGCTTGAGAGGGTACCCGCTGTAGCGGAAGGAGCGCAGGCTCGGCATGTCGAGCTCGATGCCCGTGTTGGCGGGATCGTCGAGCTCATGCCAGCCGAGATAATGGGTCTCGAGCACCAGGGCGGCGACCGTGGGACAGCGGAGGCGGAGGCGCAGGCTGAAAGTTTCATGCATGTAAATCGTCTTGTTGGAACCAGGTGGCTCCGGCGAGTTCTGACGGAGGTTCACCAGCACCAGGCTGGTCAGCGCCGGCGCGTTGTCGACCAGGACCTGGAGATGCCCCTCCAAGGCGAAGCAGTGGCGCAGCGTGAGATCCGTGAGGCGCGGGAAGGCCAGGCGCGCCGACGGCGGTGGCGGCTCGAGGTTGCAGCGCTCGAGCTCCAGCACCCGGAGTGTGGCGGCCCATGGCAGGGAGCCCAGCGGCGGGCTGTACATGTCGTCGCACTGGCTTTGCTTCTCGGAGCCAATGCGGAGGTCTTCCAGCCCGGCCGCGGCGGGGTCGGCGAGGAGGCCGGCGACCCTGACGTCCTCTTTCGGTCCGGGGTTGCTGTACCATCTGGTCAAGAGGCGGTAGGCGCCTTCGGTGAGGAAGAGCGTGAGCCTCTTGAGGGCCGTCCCGCGGCGGGTGGCGGCGAGGGCCGCCTTGGCGTCGCGGAAGAAGACGTCGAAGCAGGCGTAGCGATCTTCGGCGGAGTAGTGTCTGCTGTCGAGGTTGAGGACGCCCGTGCGGCGCCACAGGGGACGCCATTGGCGCGAGAGGACGGCGCTGGCCGCGGCCTCCTTGGCCGGCGCGAAGGACAGTACGTGGTGGAGAAGATCGTCAGGGAGGGCGGAGAGACGGTCGGCGGCTGCGGCCATCGTGGACGCGGGCGTCTCGGCTAGGTTTGTTGTGCGTTGAAGTACAGTATTTAAGGGCATGTACAGTGGTTGATAAGATAGTCTTATCTTAAGTCTTGCATGTGATTTAGAGAAGACAAAAAAAATTATCTACAATGGGTCATCTCTTAGCCTTATCTTTAATAACTAGCAATTCCTAAATATGTGGTGAGACATATTGTGCTAAGAGATCACCTCTTGTCTTCTCTTAATTAAGAGAAGACAAGCCTTTTCTTATGAGTTCTCTCTCCTCCACCTCATCATCTATCCTACGTGGCACTCGTAAGATAGCACCATTGTACATGCCCTAAGGGGTGATTGAGTCGGTTTGGTTTCTGACGAAAGCGCCGCATTGCATGGGAGTTTTTTTTTCGACAGACATCCCCTCCTGAGTTTTTTTTTTCTTTGAGTAATCTCGCCCTCTTTATTGATTCAAAGTAATGTCCATGGGTACAAGATTTGGGTCATGAGGATTGCCCAACCAAACATGCCTACCTATGCCTAAATTATAAGCAAACTTGACGAGATTGTGAGCCTCAAAATTATAGTTTCGGGCAAAAACTTACAAGAAGAAAAACTAGAGCCACGAGCTATGATTCCATGCGTGATCGCTGCATTCGGACTGCCCGCCCATGGTTTATGTCGTTGACTACTCCTTGGCAATCAGATGCAACCACAATATTCTGAACTCCTAGATCATCAGCCAAAGCTAAAGCTTCCCTGCAAGCATATGTTTCTAGGATCGTCGGGTCTATGATGCCTGGATAAACCACTACAGAAGACCCAAGGTATATGCCATTGTGGTCGCGGCATAGAGCTGCTCCGCCTCGCCTGTTCCTTGCTATGGCTCCGTCCGCATTCAGCTTGACGATGCCCACTTCTGGAGCGAGCCATCGCTGGGTTTGGCATGGGTCCAGCCGGCCTCACCACCGTAGCTGGAAGCTGCTCCAGTTCTGTAATAAAGTTATTCACGAAAAATATGGTTTGTGCTCCAGTTCTGTAATAAAGTTATTCATGAAAGATATGGTTTGTTGCGGACTCTGGAAAATTGCCCCGTATATCTCTTTCCCCCGTGCGTACCACAGTGCCCACAAGGTGACAGCCATCTTAGTGAACTTCGAGTGATCCAACGAACTGTACAGTTCAAACATCCAGTTTTTAGCACCACCAACCGAAAAGCGAAGGCCTCAATCACCATGCTTGTGTCGTGGGTCATTTGAAATGAGAGAAACGCAAGAGTGTTCCGGCATAAGAGCAAGCCTCCGCCAACTCTACTCAACACCATCATCAACGAGGCAAACCTTTGGATCACCGCCGGGGCAAAGAAGTTAGGGTCTTTTCTATTGCGAGAACAAAATGTCATGCCGTATTCTGGGTGTGTGTTGTAACAAACTCTCCTCTCCTTATTTAATATATGAGGCAAATCTTTTGCCTCCGTTTCAAAAAAAACTTTCCTTGGGGGATCATGTACAACGGACGTAGTCGGTCTCGGTGTAGATTCTTTAGGAATCCAGTTGTCCGCCCATATGTCCGTAGCCTGACCATTGCCAATCCGCCGCCTGATGATACCTTGCTTCAACACATCCCTTCCCTCGAGTATAACACGCCAAATCTGTGATGGACGGGACCCAAGCTCAACCTCAAGTAATATCGTTTTCGGGAAATAACCCGCTTTGAGTATTCTGGCACTCAAAGATAAAGGCTCCTGAAAAATTCTCCAAGCCTGTCTCGCCAATAAAGCAAGCTTAAACAGCTCTAGATCTCCGAATCCAAGTCCTCCCAAATGTTTTGGTCTTGTCATCACATCCCACGAGACCAAAGCCAGTTTCCTCTCTCCTTGCTTGCACCTGAAGGAAATATGCCTTAGAGGCAATAATAAAGTTATTATTTATTTCCTCATATCATGATAAATGTTTATTATTCATGCTATAATTGTATTAACCGGAAACATGATACATGTGTGAATACATAGACAAACTTAATATCACTAGTATGCCTCTACTTGACTAGCTCATTAATCAAAGATGGTTATGTTTCCTAACCATAGACATGTGTTGTCATTTGATTAAATGAGATCACATCATTAGGAGAATGATGTGATTGACTTGACCCATTCCGTTAGCTTAGCACTTGATCGTTTAGTATGTTGCTATTGCTTTATTCATGACTTATACAAAGTTCCTATAACTATGAGATTATGCAACTCCCGTTTACCAAAGGAACACTTTGTGTGCTACCAAACGTCACAACATAATTGGGTGATTATAAAAGAGCTCTATAGGTGTCTCCAAAGGTTCATGTTGAGTTGGCGTATTTCAAGATTAGATTTTGTCACTTCGATTGTCGGAGAGGTATCTCTGGGCTCTCTCGGTAATGCACATCACTATAAGCCTTGCAAGCAATGTAGCTAATGAGTTAGTTATGGAATGATGCATTATGTAACGAGTAAAGAGACTTGCCGGTAACGAGATTGAACTAGGTATTGGATACCGACGATCGAATCTCGGGCAAGTAACATACCGATGACGAAGGGAACAACGTATGTTGTTATGCGGTTTGACCGATAAAGATCTTCGTAGAATATGTAGGAGCCAATATGAGCATCCAGGTTCCGCTATTGGTTATTGACCAAAAACTGTTCTAGGTCATGTCTACATAGTTCTCGAACCCGTAGGATCCGCACGCTTAACGTTACGATGACAGTTATATTATGAGTTTATAGTTTTTGATGTACCGAAGGTTGTTCGGAGTCCCGGATGTGATCACGGACATGACGAGAAGTCTCGAAATGGTCAAGACATAAAGATTGATATATTGGAAGCCTATATTTGGATATCAGAATCGTTCCGGGTGAAATCGGGATTTTACCGGAGTACCGGGAGGTTACCGGAACCCCCCCGGGGGTTAATGGGCCTACATGGGCCCTAAGGGAGAAGAGGAGGGCCGGCCAGGGCAGGCCGCGCGCCCCCTCCCCCTAGTCCGAATAGGACAAGGAAGGGGGGGGGGGGCGGCGCCCCCCTTTCCTCTTTCCTCTTCCCCCTTCCTTCTCCAACAAGGCAAGAGGGGGGAGTCCTACTCTCGG